GTCTAGCCCCTCCCGTGTAATCTTGTGTGCAGACTGCTCAGCCTGGTGCTTCTGAGTCATTGCGTCTAGCCCCTCTTGTGTAATCTTGTGTGCAGATTCCTCCTCCGAGAGGCGTCTCAATACTTTTACGATCTTCTCATTCCACTTCTCTTGTTGAGCCTGCAGCCGCTTGTGCAGCCTAAACATTGCCAGGATAGCAAGGACAACAAGCATAGCTTTGCAACCCAATCGGGCTCGAGGGCCGATCCAGTACCAGCACCGGACGATGAGAGATTTGCTGGGCGGCCGCCATGGCTGCCCCTCCGTGGTCGGAATGCGCTCGATCTCTGACCAGCACAACTCCTCCTTCATGGTGACGTCATCCAACCCTTCAACTTGCTTCCCACAAGCGGATGCCACCGTGTGGCATGCCCTCTTGAACAAGCGCAAAGCTGAGTCATTCTCCGGGAACCTCTCACAGTGCTCCTTGGTCTTTGCCGCCACGCTCTTGGCAAAGGCCTTTTGCCACAGGTCACAGAACTCACTGGAGTGCAACTGACTATGCAACACTCGCTCAAGCCGCTCTTTCAATAGGTCCACTCCAAGTTGGCCTCTGGGCGGAAGCTGTGTAGATAGCGGCTCTTGCACTTCTGCTCCAGTGTCTTGGAAGGCTGTGCGCGTGAGTTCCCCGATGGTCGACAAAAGATCCGGCAAATCATGCGGGTCCTCTGTGTCTGCCTTGGTGGCAACTGGAAGGACCTTGATGGGAAAGCGTCGGTCAAATTTCAAATCTTGCAGTTGCTTGCTCATTTTCCTTGCTTCATCCTTCTCAAATTGACGGATGGAGGACACTGGCACACAGAACATGATGATATGAGGCGTCTGTTCTGAGACCAGCTGCTTCTCTTTCAAGATCAGCTTGTACTGCGACTTGATGTCCGTGCTCGTCTCGGGGCTCCATCCTGGAGTGTCAATCAGGCCAAATTGGAGATCTTCTATAAGACCTTCGAGTTCAAGATCGAACCATTGTGCATGCTGCGTTCTGTTCTTCAAATGGGGCCCGGCTGGAACATGGGGCTCAAATGTGCCACCACCCAAGGCTTTCACCAATGTGGTTTTGCCAGCACCTGCCGCACCCAGAACCACACAGCTGTGGGTGAGGATGAGCTGAAATGGCACTTTCACAACTTCCTTGATGAAGTCAGGCTGTGCTTCCAAGACTCGGGTATCCTGAAACCCGGTCCTCACATGCTCCTCGATCTTCCCAAGTAGCCTTGGGATCTCCGGGTCCTTCACCAACGTATACGATGAACCGGGCGAAGCAACTTCAGGGACCGGCAGAGCCAAAGGTCCCTGACTCTGTTGCAAGGTCTCCAAGGTCATTCGCCTCACCCAACTGGATCTGCGGCACTGAAGAAGATCGGACCAATCGCACCCTGGGGTGTTCAGCCGCTACAGCTGCGTTCAAGTCGGAGAAACTTGGACCCGACTTGTTGGCTGACGCGTTTAAGAATTCAACTTTCATACAGCCTGTGGCTGATTGATGACACCAAGACAACCCTCTCACCAAACAAAAACAAGCATGGAACCGGCAAAAGGTGGCTGTTCTGGACCGGAAAATGTTTATCCTCCACCTTGGTGGAGGCAGTGTGCCTCACCAGCCTCCTCATCTGTCTTGTCGCACTTGACTGCCAGGCTGTCTGCCTCACATCGCTCAAACAATTGGGAGTTGTCCGGTAATCGTGGCAAAAGCCCCGGGTTTCGGCCATGTGGAGGACTTGGCAGTTCCGGCGTGATGTCTGACATGGGGCTATATAACTAGGGAGCCATCCAAAGCGCACGAATTAGTAGTACCCTGGTACAGGTATACGGATATGGGATGATATAGGCTAATTATAGGCTATGGGTAGAACCCTAGGTATGATCAAACACCATGCATGTTATAATGCTGGAGCTATAGGTACCAGGTTTTCCTCACAGGGTCGAAGGTATAGGCGCGCTTCACCGTGAGAGTGCGAGCGCCGCTTTTGCTTCCGCCCGGCGGTGCGACGCCCCGTGTGCCGCGTTTCGAAGGGGGCGGGGGCCATTTCCGCTTTGGCGCGCGTGTGAGCAGTCTGTCTACTGGGTCTGTCACCAGGCCAGGGAGCAAAGGGTTCCAAACCAAACAGGAAAGGATTTTTGGCACAGTACATGCATCTACTCGCTTCATGCAGAGTTTGCCCGTTTTTCTTGCCAGGAGTGGGCATGCGGCATCAGTATCCTGATATGTTCACACAAGAATTTGCACAACTGCTTTGATCAGCTGCTGGCGGCCCTGGAACTTGGGACATATGTCGAACGTGCCCGACACTGACCTGGTAGTGAACATCTCTATGTTTGTCATGGGAGGGTTCGCACAGTATGTAGGGAACTGTTAACTGTTTCTTGGGTTAATGGGACAACAAACCACCCCGTCTTGTGACTCCTGCTGTGTCTATTAAATATTAGGATGATCCAGTCACAATTCCAGGAGCAACTCTGTGACAGCTTTTAGCCTTGGACCTCTCACCAGCGCACGAATTCAGGTCGGCCACGAGGACCGTGGCAGACCGTGGCCAAGTCGGCCGGGCTAAAGGGTTCAAAACGCGGGACGAAACGTTCAATTCACACACCTGATACCTTGCTACCTCTGGAAGGTGTGCTCACCTTGGAAAACAAGGCTGAATGAGAACATTACCTGTAGGTGTAGGGTTGTACCGTTTTCTGAGAGGTGAGAAAAAACGGTCATATCCCAACAACAAGGCCCAAGCTCTGAAAGGGTCCTAGCGATTCACCGAGGGCTGCGAGGGCCTTTGGCTTCTTAGCGAGCATTTTCGGTGATGATCTGCCGAAGTTCTCCACGTTTTGACCCAGTCCCTTAAACAAAGATCTGCGTGCAAGAAGATGCCCAACTGGTCGAAGACTTCTCCAAACTACAGGAAAGCAAGACAAGTCCTACCAATCCGCTGTCATCCAATCCGCACTGCTGGATCACCTACCTGCCATGGGGTCCAAATACTACCATATATATATATATTAAACTGTTGTTCAACCAAATAGCTTCTATCAATCTAGTGAGGCAGGCAAGGATCATGCAAACAGAATTGCTTTCTACAGTCAACAGTAGGATGACTTCGATGGAACTGCAAAACATAACAAACAGTGAGTGGATCACCTTCACCACTGCCTTGGGAATTCTCACACAAAGTCACCAAACATGGAGAAGGCGGTCCTTATTTTTGCCAGCCAATCACCTCGTGGATCACCTGAACGCTGCTTAAGAGCTTTGATTGGCAGAAAGGATGGCAAAACTTGGCAGAAGTGAATCAGTTATATACTTACGATTCCCTGGGACCACACACTGGATCTTGTTTTTGGTTTCGCTTTTCTTGACAAATCCATATCACATATCGTAACCCAATTGATGGGTTTGTTGACCATCTACGTGCTACGATTGGTATCGATTTGGTCTAGAGTCTAGAGCCACTAAAACCTTTAAGTTCCCGCCTTATAGTATGAATTAATATGAATGAATGGTATGTTCTGCCTTCACTTGGCTACTACATTCTAGTGTTGTTCGGGCATCTGGAGGCCACAAGCCGGATGGATTCTGAAGAGGGCTTGGCCCATATCATCAGCCAGTGCGGCCGGTGGAGCATTCCGAAACCAAAGGGATTGTTTGACACCTTTGGGAGATGCGAAGGGATGTGGCCATCCCAAAAATGTTGCTCAAAGATCGGGGACCAAACCCAACACCTGAGTCCCCAGGTCTTGACCAAAATATCCAGAATCTATATGAATAATTATATATATATATGTCTATTAAATGGTCTTATATAATGTGGGATTGACCATGAATTTTTACCGTTCCATGATCTCGATGGTATATAACCTGGTTTTGGGTCTCAATGTTCTGTTGAACCACATCCATGTCTCCCCTGGCAAGCCAGCGGCACGATCTGTACACGTTCCATGGCGCCACTTTTGGCAGTGCCATCTGCTGCCAAGGGAGATGAAGCACTGGCACACTGGAGGAGCGCCACCTCCAAATTCCCCTTTCGCAAGTCACCCAAAAAGGATCCTCTCCAAACTCTTGACCAATAGAGACCGTCCACGTGGACGTCACATGGGTTGCCTGTTACCCTCTAAGCTCCAGGCATTTGAACAAATCAAAGCTTTCCTGATGTCTTCTCTTCGTGTGAAGGTGACGACGCCTCAGCCGCCGATCACTACTAGTCCACTCTCATTCATGCAAAGGCCATGCAGCGCAGCAGCACGCTACTGCAGCGATTCCACTTTTGAGGCCTCAGTTTGGGGTCGGTCGCATACCCGAAAGCTAACACAAACAGAAAACCACTGGCTTGTAGAGGAAACATGCCAAAACCACAGGTTCCATGTGAGTGACACCGGGGAGGCTTGCTAGGCGCGCGTTTCGCGCGAAACACGCGCGAAACACGCGCTTTTCGCAGGCTGCCAGGCATGCTGGAACAGCGAAGCAGAGAACGGTGACTGGGTCCCAGTGGATCACATCGGACGGGTGGAATCATTTGAGGAACCAGGACAATGTCCAGGGTTGGAGACCCTGGTTCTTGACCTTTTGATCTGTTTAATTGGGCCTGTAAAAGGTCCTGAGAAAGCACTCCAAAGAGATCACTTTGAAGCTGGACCACAGAATGTGAGTATATGGGCGCATCATCCCTTCCATTTTTTACCCCGAGAGTCAGGAAGGACTGGATCCTTCACTGCTTCACCTGCGCTGTCTGGATCAAAAAGCTGGCCGGCCTAAAAATGCCTAAAGGATCCTACAGGACCCCATTTCACCCCGGTGTTGCTTGATAAGAACTTGTTATGCCCCAAATATGATTCCCAAACGCTCCATGTATGGCATGTTTACCTTCGGGTGGTTTTGGTGGTCAATGGGGTGGCATATATGGCAGTCCCATTAGTCGTGTCTGGGGTTGGAATATGTTGGAATGCCCACAACATATTTTCAAATTGTCCCTCCGACTTCTCACCAGCGCAAATCGCCTGGCTTAAGCCGATTTCCCCCACAGAATCCGGCGGCTTCACGGAGAAGGCGGCGCGTCCAAGGCGCTCCCGTCGCTGGAGCTGAAGACTCGTGGCCTCCAACGCGCGGAGGAAGGCCTCGGCATCGTCGGTGGGTTGGGCCGTCGCGGGGGGTGCAGGACACCTGAAGTTAGACCCGACAGGCCGGCTGGTCAAGGTGATATAAGGAGGTATACGGTGAGTCGTGAGTCCTGAGTCCTGACTCTTTCACAAGGTGGTTTCTTGCTTGAGATGATCGTGGATGTGAGCATCGAGAAGCATCACGTTCAGCAGTCCGAAGCTGGAGAGGTCTGGCCCCCTCTCTCTCTCATCTCTATGGTCTGTGGTCATCAAACCATGAATCTCCCATGGCTTCGACCGTGATTCTAACAGTTGACATAAAATTCTACAAGACTATCTATAAGCTATAGCAGCTATACTTGCTGCGTGCTTTTGGTAGTTATGTCTTTGGCCCCCCCAAAGACAGTGGGTGAACCTCTCACCTCCTCCCTTCGCTCCGGGTCCCACACCTCGATGTCCTCGCTCTGCCCTTCGACGCTGTTCGGACCTGTGAGCCGGTTCAGCTTCCCAAACACGAGCTGTCTGGGACTGCCAGGACTGGCACCCCAGAAAGACCTCCAAAACCTTCCAAAACCACCCCAACTGATCGGCATACATGGAGATACATGGAGTGTCTGGGCAAATTGACCGGCGACTCAACGGGTGTGGAGAGAACAAGGAGCAGCTTTTTGAGTCCCCGCGATCGAATGAAAGGCCTGGTCCGGTGATGTCCCAGATCGAACGAGGAGCAGCTTTCGCCCAGGAGCAACGTCACCATGCAAACGGGTCAATCCCAATTCCAAACACGACCTGTCTGGGACTGCCATATATATTTTGTCTATTATATGCCACCCCATTGACCACCAACACCACCCCAATGTAGGATATGTAGGTAAATATGCCATACATGGACATACAGATATACATGGAGCGTCTGGGTATACCACTCCTTTCCAAACATCAACTTACACTCCCTGGACCAAAATCATGAGCCAACGTGGACGGCATGGCTCCGAAAGCCAGCATGACCATGAAAATCCCAATTATATCAAACACTCGTGGTTGTCACTCCAACGAAGGCATTCCAACAGGTTAAGTGACCCGTCACCAGGGGTCTATAGGATAGTCTATATAGGCTTCTGACCCACCTCTGGTGGTTAGGGAGTCACTGGGGTGCAACCGACCAACCGCGCGTCGTCCTGACCCGTCCGGACCTCGAAGCACTGCTGCCAGTAGCTCCGGAGCCGTTTGCACTGCGG